GATGGAGATGCTGGGCTTCACAGTGGGATTAATCGCTCTTCCTCTTGCCTACAGACTCCTGCCAGCTGACTCTGGACCCCAACACAGCAAACAGATACCTGTCTCTCTTAGGGGGGTACAGGAAGGTGACAGGGGGGGCAAAGCATCCATATTCTGATCATCCAGAGAGATTTGATGGCTGGTGGTTCCAAGTTCTGTGCAGAGAGAGTCTGACTGGTCGCTGTTACTGGGAGGCTGAGTGGACTGGAGCTGGAGCCCGGATAGGAGTAACTTATAAAGGAATCAGGAGGAAAGGATGGAGTGATGACTGTGGGCTTGGGTACAATGACAAGTCATGGTGTCTGAGCTGCTCTTCTGTCAGTTACTTTGTCTGGCACAATAATAAACACACTGTCATACCCATAAAGCCCTCAGGTTCCCGCAGAGTAGGAGTGTATCTGGACTGGGCGGCAGGTACTCTGTCCTTCTACAGAGTCTCCTCTGATGGACTGACCCTCCTGTACAGCTTCACCTCCTCATTCACTGAGCCCCTCTATCCAGGGTTTTTTGTTCACTCCTCCGTGTCCCTGTGCATGCTGGGATAGCTCATTGTGTGCCGGAGGAATCATTTTTACCTTATCAGAGTGTTACATGTCGCTGCTTCTCCATGGCAAAAAAATAAAATCTCTGCTTTTTAACCAGTATAACCATTTTTACTCTGTCTGAAGTGTAACGTATGTCAGACAAAAATAAATGAATGTATATTCAGCTTGCCAAACCCATGCAAAATGACTGTTTTTCTCTGACTTATGTTCTGTTGTCTGTGAATGCACCAAAACTGCCAAAATAAAATCATAGTACATGCAGTTGTACCAATAGAGTGAATTGTGATTCTGAATAAAATGTAATGAAATGTAAGCCTGATGAGTAGGAGGAGCTTTTCCCCTCCCCTCTATGTGTATATTTTATATATTTCTGTCTATATATTGTATTTGCTACCTGTACACTGACAATAAAGGCTTCCTATTCTATCCTATTAATGTCCTGGTTCAGCGCTGCCCAGTAATGATGGTCGATTCGCGAACGAATCCTTCTTTTTAACTCGGTCTTTTTAGTGAATGGGTCGATTTTTAAAATTATTTTAAAACTGATCTTTGGCTATTCAACATCAAAAAGCATCCCCCGCGATTTCGGATTTATTTTTCATACCTGGTCGTCGTGAGACACGGTTCCTGTATAAGTGAAGGGAGATATGGTCTCTAACTTGGTGACTCCAAAAAATCCGAGAACCCGTTCGATGAACAAATTGAACTTACGGTTTTCGGACACTCGGTCGGTGACTAAAACGAACGGTTTGCGAATCCATCCCAAGAGCCATTGCGGCGTTTACTGCGGAAATGCTGCTACGCTAATGAATAGGGTAAAATAAACGCATCTATTGCCGATTTATGACAGCAGTAAATTATTAAATTGCTGAATAAACTATACAGAATGCAATGAACAATGTAAGTATACATACATAAACAATTCATATGTCCTGTAATAACTATTTTATTTGTGCTAATGTTATTATTATTATTATCATTATTATTAGTATTAGTATTATTATGCCTGTGTAATAATACCCATGGTTCAGTCACTTATATTCATGCACTATATACTTCGAGCTGGAGCCCGGATAGGATTTACTTATAAAGGAATCAGGAGGAAAGGATGGAGTGATGACTGTGGGCTTGGGTACAATGACAAGTCATGGAGTCTGAGCTGCTCTTCTGTCAGTTGCTTTGTCTGGCGCAATAAGAAACAGACTGTCATACCCATAAAACCCTCAGGCTCCCGCAGAGTAGGAGTGTATCTGGACTAAACAATAATACAAACCGACAAATAAAACATTTTTTTTAGCAATATTTTTATTGAACAGAACAAGAATGTGTACATACAATGCAAACAAGACATTTTTTCCCCTTTTCAACCCCCTAACAAAAACACTCTACCCACCCTCTACGCTGCCAAAATGACCCACGAAAAAAAAAAAAAGACCATAATGAAAATGATAAATAAATAAATAAAGACATAAAGGGGAGATTTCATATTACATATTATCTTAGCCACATAGTAGTGTTGTAGTCAAGACCGCCTAAACCGAGACCAAGACATTGCAGAGACTGGAGGGTATCAAGACCAAGACCAAGAAACACTAAGGCAAGACCAAGACCAAAACTGGTCGAGACCAAGACCAAGATCAAGACCGAAAAAAGACTAGGGCTAAAATCGACATCACATTACTCAGATCAACTGTAGAGAAAAAAGGCATTGCTGTAAAGTGTCATTACTCGTTAAATCAAATTCATGTTATCTTTTCAATTATATTGTCCATATGTCCATATGTCTCTCATTTA